ACTAGTATATTTACTGTATATTAAGAGATAAAAAGAAAATAAAATTTAAAATTTGATATAGCAAGATTAAATTTGTATATTTTGAATTTTAATAAACAGATATATAACAAATATAAATTTAAAGGCAAATTTTGTATAATTAATTTATTATTATTAAAATAAGAACTATTTTACTTTTTAAATTAAATTTGCTATTTATTTATATATGAGGAAAATACAATGTGTTTTATTAAAAAAAATTTGATTCGATATTTAATTAGTTCATTATTTAAATTTTTTTTTAAAAATGTCTATTTCAAATATTGTAACACATATTTCTACTAAACAATGCTCGTGCTGTGACAAAGTCAAACCAACTAATGAATTTATAAAGCAAAAAGAAACTAAAATACAAGAATTTAGTAGATGCAATCACTGCACAGAATATGAAAGACAAAGTAAAAGAGATAAATGGCTCAAAACAAAGTCATCTAGTAAAGATAATTCACTATCTCTTTCTTCAAGTTATGAAGATATTCCATCCCTTTCTTTGAGTCATAAAAATAAACTATTTCTTTCTTTGAGTCATGAAAATATACTGTCTCTTACCTTGAATCACAAAGATACATCATCTTTTCTCTTGAATCAAGAAGATATATCATCTTTTCCTTTGAGTCATGAAGATATACTATTCCTTCCTTTGAATTATGAAAATACACCATTATTCTCCTTAAGTTATGAAGACACGTCACCCATTTCATCGAATAGAATAATGTCTTCTAATTCTGATAGTATTGAAAGCAATGAGAATAAGAATGAGATCATTTATAATATATGTGACCTTGAAGAGTTTGTAGCTATTAAATTTAAAGATGAAGAACTAGAAGATCATATTGAGTTTACTATAACAGTAAAAATTAAAGATGAATCAGTTAATGAAGAAAATTTGAGCTCAGAACTTAATCAGTATATAGAAGATAAAAAATTTTATGTTGTGGTTAAAACATTGCTTATATCTCTTCAATCAGGCTCTGAATATTACTAGAAACTTAGAAGTCTATATCATAACAAAAAAAATAACCAGTATACAAGTTGCGTAACAGCTTATATAGGCTATACACAAAGAACTAATCGTCAATATAAACATCTAGACGAACAACCTGTAAAATGAAGAAATGAAGCACAACAAGCCATTCAACACTTCTCATACAATAGAGTAATTATAATTAAAATAGATTTGTGTAAACAACAGGCAATAATAACTGTTAACCATTTAGCGCATAAACATCCCGCATATAAAGAATCTAATTTACCTATAAGTGCTATAGTATGGATAAAACAGAACATTAATAAAAATTAGTATTTTATAAACAACTATGCAATAAAAATTTAATCGATCTATCACTACATACATACCACCAAGTATATTATTAGATACATAAATTTTCAAGAGCACAGTATATTACAGATGTAGAAAATCAAATAAAATTTGCCAAGAATCTCTTAGAACAG